CATGTTTTGCTTAGTGAACTTACATTATTTTCTTCAAAGAAAACATGTGGTAACTGAACTCACTCCTGAAATACTTGAAAAGTGTTTCAAACAGATCACAGAATCCTAGAATCACAGAACAGTTTGGATTGGTTTGACATTAAAATCATCTAGCTCCACCCTCCCTGCCACAGGCAGGGACACCTTTCACTAGACCAGGTTGCTCCAAGCCCCGTCCAATCTGGCAACTTGAACACTTCTAGGGGTGGGGCATCCACGGCTTCTCTGAGCAGCCTGTGCCAGTGCCTCACCACCCTCACAGTAAAGAATTCTTCCTAATATCTAATCTGAACCTGCTCTCTTTCACTTGAAAACCCTTCTCCCTTGTCCTGTCACTACATGCCCTGTAAAAAGTCCCCTTCAGCCTTTTTATAGCTCCCCTTTAGGTACTGGAAGGTGTTCTAAGGTCTTCTTGGAGCCTTCTCTTCTCCAGGCAGAATAACCCAGACTCTCCCACCCTCTCTTCATGGGAGAGGTGTTCCATTCCTCTAATCATCTCTGTGGTCTTCTCTGGACTTGCTCCATACATCCACGTCTCTCTTATGTTGGGGGGTCCAGAGCTGGACAGAGCACTGCAGGTGGGGTCTCACCAGAGTGCAGCAGAGGGGGAGAATCCTCACCCTTGCCCTGCTTCCCACACTGCTTTGGGTGCAGCCCAGGACATGGCTGGTTTTCTGGGCTGCGAGCACACAGGTCCAGGTCATGCTAAGCGTCTTGTCAATCAACACCTCAAGTTCTTCAACCCAGAGCCACTCTCAATCCATTCTCTGCCCAGACTGTACTTGCACTTGACATTGTCCTGACCCAGGTGCAGGAGCTTGCACTTTGCCTTGCTGAACTTTGTGAGGGGGTGAAAGAGCTGGGAGTGTTCACCCTGAAGAAGAGAAGGCTCAGGAACCTCAGCAATGTATATAAACACCTGAAGGAAGGGTGCAAAGAGGACAGAGCCAGGTTCTTTCCAGTCTATGCCCAGTAACAGGGCCACAGACAATGGGCATAGATAGAAACACAGGAGGCTCCTCCTGAAGATCAGAAAATGCTTTTTCGTTGGAAGGGTGACCAAGCAATGCCCAGTTTGCCCAAGGAGGTTTTGGAGTCTCTATCGTTGTAGATATCCCTTCTGTGATTATGTGATATACTGCATTATAACAAGATAAAAGATGACATTGAAAAGCTACTACTGAATATTGTGAGTTTTTTCAGTACCTTTTATATGATTAAAATGTTCTATGTTAATTTAATTGGATACTTTCTTTCTCACATCAAAACTGGTATAGATACTGCATCCATTATCAGCATGATATCTGGCACTTTTGATTTGTTACAGGTCTGCAAATCAGTACAGATGGATAAGAAAGTACACGTCTCTTTTTCCTTGCCTTATAAGAAATTAATTGTTTGTTTAATTTGCATTTGTTCATTTTTTTATCTAAGGCCTAAAATAAAACATTTTAAAGGAAATTTTGTGTCCCTGGGGGAAAAAAATAAAAAATAAAAAAAGGAAATTTGAAAGGCGAGGAGGGTGAAAAGAGAGACGGAAGAAAAAAATCAACCAAGCAGCAAAGTGCAGTATGTAACTACAGGTTATGGAGGTCTTCAGTAGATTGCTCTTCTTAAATCTATCTAGACACAAGGCTAAACACTGTGTGTGAAAGACTTGGTCGATCAGCGTGGTTCATAATTGATATTATTTCACCCAGTGCTTGCACTCAGGAGTAACTGGCATTCTCAATTCCTGACATGGTAAGAAGGTGCTGGACTAAAAAGCATTGCAGACAAATTGAGGAAGTCCCTCCAGGTCAGTTCTGTGACATAGTCAGCTGTATGGAGGGACATGTAACAATGTGTCTTTTGCTCTTGCATTGTCTTTCATAATGGATTCTGACTGTCTCATTCTGCTTTTCTCCTACTCCACTATGTATCATGAAATGTTGTATTATTGCAATTATTGCAATTGGCATTGTTTTCAAACTTTAAATTAAACAGAGAATAAATACTATTATATGCTTTCCTTTCACTTTTGGAACTAATATTTGTTTTTAAATAAGTGCTTTCCATCACTCATCATATTCTGCTGCTTGATCCTATGGTGAAGTCATAACTCTGAATTTATGTCATCATAGTCTGTTGCCCAGGAAATGGCTAATGGAGAAGCTCAGACTTTTTACTCCCACACAACAGCAATTTGAAGATAGATTGTATAAATTAAAATTTCATTTTGTGTGTTTAACAACCATGTTTTCTCTGTTAAACATCTTTAGGGTGAGCAACAAAAATAGCATGTTAAGTCATAGATTTATAAGGAACATTAAAACTTCAAACCTAACACAATATGAAAATTACAATTTAATTACTTTAGATCCCAAGCTAAAAGTGAGTTGCAATCTGTGTATTTTTTAAGTTCATCTTGAACGTAGTAATAGTATAGTTGCATTTTTATGAGTGTCGAGTTCTTTCTAGCATTGCTTAGAGGTTCTGGGTAATATTTTTAACCGTTGCTTAGCAAAATTGTATTAAAAAAACCCACAAAAAATGTTAATTTTAGTTTGAAATATTGCACATCTAATAAAATAAGTGGGGTGGAAAAGAAAGAGTAATTTATTTTTAAACAAATTCACTGATCTCAGTTTTTCCATTTAATTTTTGTCCTTGCAGTGGTGACCATATAAGAACATCACAAGAGTATTTTTTTCCCAAAATACATCAAAGTTCATACTGACCAATTACAGACTGATTTATCACAGATTCATCCCTCATATTCCTCATTTAACCCAAATTAAAATACATGGCTGTGGGAAAAGTACAGTACTTTTGTTATGATGGTGCTCATGTGGCAGCTTGATTCAGCACCAGCTGAACTTACTGGGGCTTTCAATCAAGCCTTTAGCAAAAAAGCCTTCAGCAAAACAACTCGAGGTGTCTGTCCTCCAACTGTCTGAGAACAACAGGTGCTCAGCTGCAAGGTGCTTAGCTCAAATTCATGCTATATAAAGTGGAAGTAATGCAACCTGAGAGCTGGAGTGATACCTGTCTGCACAACTAATGAAGGGCTCAAGAGCTCATTATTCTTATCTCAAAGTCATTTGAGGGATTTTACTGGAGTAGTTAGGATAGCTTGAATTTGAGGGTAACCATGGTAACTTTCAATACTTCACCGTATTTATGAGCCAAGAGACTGCCTTATCCAAAATGGTCACTTTAGTGCACTTCTGCAGCTCTGGCTCAGTGAACTGCAATCTATTTTGCTGTTAAATAGGTTTTGAAAAGAAACGAAGGCTTCAGACAGTGTTTACCACAGCAGTTTACCTCTTGCCTGGAGTGTACTTCTGGGTTTTTCTGCTTAGATTCAGTAGTGTGTATTTCTGCCTCTATGCTGTAATTCACAAATCCAAATTTCTGCAAGATCTGACTTTCTGCAAGTTTTGATTTCTTCAGAAATTTACCCTTGTCTACATGTTTCTTATATGTAGGATGATGACTAAAGTGTGTTTGTACTTCCAAGAACACAGTATAAGTTCACAGCAGAATAATCATGCCATACAAACTGTTTTACTTCATATCTGGATAGCACCTTCTTAACATGTCCATCAGGACATGGTGTGAGGCACTTCTGAGTAAACATTTATCTTACCAGCCTAGCAGGGAGAGGGGACCTGTTTGCTGATGATTCCTTCATAAGAACTGCTGCTGGAAGGGACCCCAGGAGGTCTCTAGTCCAACTTCCTGCTCAAGGCAGGGTCAGTGTCTGAGGTCAGACAGGTTCACACCGGGATCTTTTCGGTCAGGGCTTGAAACTCCCCAAGGGCAGACAAGGGCAGACCTCTTTCCATGAGCTCTGCTACTGCTTGACTATTCTCATGGGGAAACATTTTTTTCTTTAATCCAGTCTGAACCACACATTTCAACTCCCATCCGTTGTCTCTGATCCTCTTCCCATACACAACTGGGAAGAACCTGAGTCTGTCTTCTTTTGTCATTGTTTACTCAGCCCTAAGACATCATTATACATTTTACAATGGGCAAAGGAAACCAGTGGTGTCAGAATCATAATTCCATAATTCTTCAACAGGAGACCTCATGCTTCTATCAATGGATACATTAAAAAATATTTTGTCAAGCAGTATTACAGCATGCCATAAATTTTACCACTGAGTTTATACCAACTCGTGTTGTCTGAAGCCTATGTGATCTGTACGCACTTTTAGTCAACTTGAGGGCTGTCCTGGTTAGAACGGCTGGGACCAATTCATCACTGGATGGGTGTAACCCAAAACTGTGTATTCTATAGCCTTCCATGCCATTTCCCAAAAACTGTTGTCAGTAGAGGCCTATGTTCCTGTCCTCATACCCTTTTATGGAATTCCCCGCTCTGAGGGAGGGACTGAGAACTCCCGCCTGAACTGATGAATATATAAACTGGGAGTTTTGGAACCTTGGCACCACTCGTGGGATCCAGAGGAAGACTGCAGACCACCGCTCTCAACTGGACTGCAGACCACCGCTCTCAACCAGACTGAGACCACCACCCTCAACTGGACTGCAATCACCACTTTTGACCAGACTGCAACAGCTCTCCCACCAGCAGGTTTTTCCCCTCTCCCTTTACTTTGGACTCGGGGGGGGGGGGAAGGTACACCACTTTTGTTCATACCCCAGGGTGCTGGGTTATACATTTGGGTTTTGCGGGTTAAAACCAATTGTCTGTCTGTATAATTGTACTTATTGTATTATTTTAATAAATTGTTATTCTGACTTATAAATCTCTCTTTTGAATTGAGTTCATTTCCCCTGCTGGTTAACTTTTAAACCAGCACAAGGGCTTTCAGTTATTTTTGTTGTTCTGTGGAGTTCAACAACAAATCCTTCACTCTGCAGAAGAGGCAGACACTAGTTCTAATGTCAGAGGGGAGAATGATCTTTTTGGACCTTGACTAGATGAAAAATAAAAACTCAAATCATGCTAGACTAACCAAAACAGATAGCTTTATTCATACCTAAGAAGAAGGAAAAGAAAGATGATTTTCAGAGTTGTTATAGAGACTAAAAACACCTTTGAAAAAGCTCAGTGTTGTGACTCCAGAGAGTAAGTATGCACTAATGTGACAGCTCACCTTCAGAATGAGCCAAGCCTAGAGTTCAAGGTTGTAGAGGCATAGAGAGCAGGACATAAGAAGCCATTTGCATCAAAGGGTGGCATTTTCACTCCAGAGGAGAAGGGCTGCTCACAGCTGGTCTTCTTGGGGCACTCCCTGGGATGGCATAGAACAAGCTCAAGAGGTGTACCCAGAGATGCACTAGGAAAGAATATGAGTTTCTGAAACAACCTCTTCCACAGAATTGGTGGGAATAAAGAGCATCACCAACATTTAATACAGAACTTGGTACATTTCCAAGAGAGGTGAGATGATAGGATACCTGTCACAGCAAAAGACAAGACTCAGTAATGGAATCACATAATCTCAGAATGCTTGGGGTTGGAAAGGACTTCTGGAGGTCACCTCATCCAACCCCCTGATAAAGCAAGTTTAGGACATCTGGACTTCCATTCTTTTGTATTTTTGTTCCTGAAATCTGTGAGCCCACATCTGCCTGTCTCTGAAATGGAAAAAAGCTACACTCCATAGACAAAAAATTTGAGAGAAGAAATGTGGTAATTTGATATTTGTTTCAATTTGTTCTATTAGGAAAATATTTTTTCCACATCTTACAACTTGTGTACACTAACATATACATTAAAATATACAGCTTAACTATGCTTAATGATCTGATATAAAAGTTATGCAAAAGGGAAACAGAGAAAAGGAACTCATAAGCATGGTATTATACCATCTGAAATGCTACTTCCTTGCTTTATTACCTCTGAGCACAATTCTGTGATAATACTTTTCAATTAAATATATTTCAGGGGTTTCAGAAGGAAATAAAAACAATCTCTTTTTTTTTTCTTTTTATAGGAAACATGCCATGTGAACATTGTTCTTGGTTTCCTTTGTGATGAAAAAGGGTTTATAATGGGCCCCATGCCACCATCTGTGGGACAGGAGGGGGTGTGAGCTGTGGAAGGGCTGCAGCAGTGCCATGTCCCAGGCACCACCGTGGCAGGGGTGGCTGGGAAGTGAGAGCTGCTGTTGTAAGGACACTTTCCTTTCCTCCTCACGTGACTGGAGTGTTGCAATGGATGGCTATAAACTCTTCAATATGGCTCTTCAGGAATAGGCTAGGAAAGAGAGGCACTGGGGTAGCCCTGTGTGTTAGGGGGTGTTTTGACTGCCTGGAGCTTAACGATGGTAATGATTAAGGTCAAATGCTTGTGGGTAAGGATTAGGGGGAATGCTAACGAGGCAGATATCCTGGTGGAGGTCTGTTACAGGCCACCCAACCAGGATGAAGAGGCAGATAAACACTCTACAAGCAGCTGGAGAAGACTTTTAGTTGCTGGCCTTTGTTCTCTTGAGAGACAAGAGCCCCCATAATCCAGGAGGAAACAGTGACCTACTGCTCCACTTAAACATGCTCAAGTCTATTGGGCCGGATGGGATCCACCCAAGGGAACTGAGGGACCTGGTGGAAGTGCTCACTGAGGCACTTTCCATCATTTGCCAGCAGTCCTGGCTAATCAGGAAGGACCCAGGTGGCTGGAAGTGAGCACCATCTCTGGAAGGATTCAGAAAACGTCGATGTGGTGCTTAGACATACGGTTTACTAGTGGACTTGGCAGTGCCAGGTTAATGGTTGACCTAGATGATCTTAGGGGTCTTTTCCTATCTTAACCATAGAACCACAGAATCATTAAGGTTGGAAAAGACCTCCAAGATCATCATGTCTAGCCTTTGACCTAATACCATACTTACTAAACCAAGAAGTGCAGGGCCATGTCTACTTACTTTCTTGAATGTTTCCAGGGATGGTGAGTCCACCACTTCCCTGGGGAGCCTGTTCCATAATGACTCTATGATTCTACAATTGCTGTACCTTAACTTCCTCCACAAGAAATGAGAATTGCTTTTGTTTGGGTATTATGCAATATACTGAAAAGGAGAAAGATTTTTCACTTGAATCTTTGCAGCAGTGAGAAAAATCTTGTGGTTTCTCTTTGAGCCTGCCCCAGCAATTCCTGGCAATGCTGCTTTAGTGTGAAATGTTGAGAAAACTGGAGAGAACTTTCTGGGCTCATCTAACAGCAAAAAACTTTCACTTGTTAAGCTAAAACTTCAGCATAAACTTCAAATGTTAGAGTAAAAGCAGTGTATGATATAAGGTTATGCTTTATACCAAAAAGAAGCTGAAATAGTGATCTTCATTGTAGTCAGGAGCAGTTTCAGGGCTATTTCAAAACTCAGATTTTTCACCTTCATTGTGAATAGAAAGGTCCAGTCCTTAACCAGCTATATCACTTCCTTTTTATGGCTCTTCTGCTAATAGTTAACAAAGAGTTGCTGTTTCTCATACTTCAATTTCACTCTGACTTTGCCACTATATTGTGAAGAAAGTATGAATCTCCTGCTACCTCATTTTCAGCTACAAAATCATAGTTGTTCATCTCTATGGTAACAACTGCCCCAGCCCAGCTTAATAGGGTGCTTGTCTAGACAGCATTAAACATATCTGCACTTATGTGTGTCTGGTTTTAGCAGCCAAGCACGAAGAAGGTGGAGTGAAGGGAAGAGAAGCAACCGAATAGGAATGAGTAAAAGAGTAAAAGTGCTTCAGAAGTCACCCCACTTTACATGAGAATTTTTAATTCTGGAGGCCTTTCCTGGGGTGGTTGTTAAAATGCGTTCCTCACACAGATTTACAGATGTGCATGAAAGAATTTAAAACTAATTTCTAACTGAACTAAGGGCCATCACCCCCTGCAGACTCCTCCAGGAGCAGAGGCCTCTCCCAGGGTCAGAAGACCATTTCACTGTTCCTATGGGAAAGTGTGATGTGTCTGAGACTGAGCAAGGTCAGCAGGTCTTAGCAAGGACCAGAGGAAAGTCTTAGTTCTGATTCAGATCTGCTGGTTGGATCTTGGGTGAAACAGAATAAAGCAACCCAGCACTGTCCATGTCCTTGTCACAGGAGGCCCCTTGGAAGGGGAACGGTTTTGTCTCAGGTAGTGGAACAACTGAGCCTGTAGACCAAGAGAGCCACATGACTTCAGCTGGGTGCAATCTGTATAAACCAAGTTTATACACCAAAAGATAGCACTTCAATCACCTTGGAACTTCTACAGACTTCTACAGCTCAGCAAGTATCGTGAAATAAAAGAAACTCATAGTTTCAGCATTTTTCATTCACTCTGATAATCCATATTTCACAGTGAAGGGCACAGCCTGAAGCTGAGTTAGGACGCAAAAGACACAGATTTGATTTTCTGGTCTTTTCCGCTCCAGATAATATCTCAAACAGCATGCTACAGCATGTTTGGGGATGCTGAACTGTCAGTGTGTGTTTTTGGGAATTGCCCTTGTTTCAGTAAGTCAGCATAGACCATAGCAGGTCCAGCTGAAATCCAGCCTAAGTCTACCCTCAGACAACGTCTAAGCAGGCATCCTTGCCCCTCTCCTTCTCTCACTGCACATGACACAAGAAAGTACTCCCTGAGCCATTACAAATTAATGTTGAGATGTTCTTCTGAAGGAGAAGCATCCACCTTCCATTTGGCACTACGTGACATAGAAATACAGAGATGTTCAGTAGCAATTCAGGGACAATGCCTGCTGGCATTGTATTCCAGCTGCTTGTGCTGCCAAGACACTGCCTGTGTGTTGTGGGGCTGACTTGTTGCCAGAACTGCTCAAAAAGAGAGCATCTCCCATTGAAGAGACAACAATTAAGACTGTTGGTAGAGACATATATTCAGCATACTCCCAAAGCCACCTTCGCTAAATAGACTGTTACTGAATCCATGAGAAAACACTTTCTCTGTGGAAACACTATAACAAATTCCCATTTTTGAGTCCTTATTTGACACACTGTCTGTACAGGACAAGGGGATGCAGCTTGCACTTTCTGAAACACATTGGGCAAGTTGAGAGCAAAGGCTGAAAGGGACAGTTTTTAACAAAACCAGTATTGGGTGATCATATGTCCACTGCAATGTAGTCATTTGCCCATTTTACAGCTATCCCAAACTCATGTTCATGGATCATATCATGTTCATATGTTGCGTGCAAGTATCCCACCGTAACATCGGCAAATTTACACTATGCCCTTCCATGTGCTAGGCTCAGCATCACTCACATTGAGGCATCTGATCACTCAAAAAAGAGATATTCTTGCAACACAATCATTCATCCCACAAATATGAGGAAATTGTAAGCAAAACACCTGCATATTATATTTTATAATTAAAAAGTATCGCTACAGTGTCTAATGGAAGCTGACAATGTCCCAGTTTCCAACAAGGGCAAGAACAATGACCCTGGAAACTGCAGGCCAGTCAGTCTCACTTAGGTGCCTAGTAAAATTATGGAGAAGATTCTTCTGGGAGGTATTGAAAAACAGCTGAAGGACAACGCAGTTATCGGTCATAGCCAGCATGGCTTCATGAGGGGAAAGTCCTGCTGGTCAAACCTAATTTTCTTTTGCAACAAGGTAAGCCACTTAGTGGATCAAGGGAAACCAGCTAATGCAGATTTTTGGATTTCAGTAAGGATTTCAGTAAGGTTTTCGATACTGTCTCTCACAGGATGCTTCTGGACAAAATGTTCAGCACACAGCTGGATAAACATATCATGTGATGAGTGAGTAACTGGCTCATGGGTTAGGCACAAAGGGTTATAGCAAATGGGGTGACATCAGGCTGGTGACCTGTCATTAGTGTGGGTCCAAAAGGCTCCATCTTAGAGCCAGTGCTCTTCAATATCTTCATAAACAACTTGAACACAGGACTCAAAGGTACACTAAGTTTGACAACAATACAAAATTGGAAGGAGTTGATGACACCCTTGAAGGCAGAGACATCCTGCAGAGAGACCTGGAAAAGTTAGAGGGCTGGGCAATTACAAACCATATGAAGTTCAACAACAGAAAGTGCTGGATTCTGCGCTGGGATGGGGCAACTCCAGGTGTACAGACAGACTGGGGAAGGGGATCCTGGAAAGCAGTGCTAGCAAAAGGACCTGGGGGTCCCTGGCGGTTTCATCCCAAAAATCCAATTTCCAAGCTTCCCCACAATTTGTTCGGGAGTGAGAGAAGTTTTCAGACACAACTCAGTATGGGGGAAGGGAATTATATTGAAATAACTAACACAATAAA